TCTCGATTGTTTCAGAAAGTTCGTCGATGAAACGAACGTCGTCTGCATTGCCGGTGCGATCGCCATGATTTTTCAGAGGTTTCTACGCGATTCTCCGATTTGGTAGAAGAATATTTATTGGCGATTTGATTTGTGACGTGTCACTCTCTGGAAATGGATAACGTTTCAGTTAGATTCTTTAGTTTTTTTTGTGTATGTCGATAAGGTGGGCCCCTTTCGAGATATTTGAAAGTGGATACTTGGGCCCATTTAAGCCCATTAAGGCCCAAGCTTTCTTTTGCTTGGATACGTCATTGTTTCCGAGTCCGACTACTCTCCAGTCTCCTCCACAGTACTATCAAAATTCAAAAGCAAAACGAAAAATCTCTAGAACATTCTAGAACGTTGTGGAAGATAAATATAATAAATATATATGAAATACAGACAAATTATAATTTTGTTATTTCTACTTTTTCTCTTTGGTTGCTGCTTCAATGGCGAAAGAAGGACCTAACTGGGATGGTTTGCTTAAATGGAGTCTCTCTCACGCCGATGGTACTCGACCTACTCGCAACTTAAGGTACGAAGCTTCTTTCTAATTTAATTTGCATTCTGATAATTTTTTTTGTGGCTAGTGTGTTTGCATTGAATGGTTGTTTGGGTTGTTGTAGAAATTTGTGTGGGTCTGAGTCAGTTGGTGTGTTTGCTGATTAGTAATTGAATCTTGTAATGGAATTTGAGCTTTTGGGTTTGTGTAAATTAGGGTTCTTTGGGGGGGGGGGGGGGGTTTAAGGTCTGATTTTGGACGATTTGAAGCAGTATGTATGATCTATGGATTGAAAAAAAGTATGTCTTTTTGGTTTCTTTATGATGGAATTCTATCTTTTGATGATAGAGTTCTATGATTTTCTGATAGAATTCTACATGTACCCATATGTTCATAATATTATGCAAAGAAAAGAAGGTCCAAACTTTCCTTTCAGTTCATGAAGTGAATGATTTGGTTAGGTTTTAAGTGAATCAACTTGTGTTTTTGTTGATTTTGATTTGTTTGGTGAGACAGCGAGGAGGATCGGAAATGGTTTACAGAGGCGATGCAATCGCAAACCATAGATGTAGTCAAGCGGATGAAAGAGATTACACTGGTAATGCAGGCACCTCAAGAACTTTTGGAGGCTCAAGAAGTAACCCCTCAAGATATCGAAGGTTGAAAATCCGAAACATAGCTGTTTTCTTTAGCTTTATTTTCTTGTTTGTTTACTTATGATGTTTTTTTTTGGGTAGGTATGCTGGATGAGTTGCAAGAACATGTTGAATCGATCGATATGGCTAATGGTGAATCTTTTTCCTTCTTTGACCTTTTAGTTTACTTCTCTGCGATCTCTGTCTTTTGATTGCGTGGCTAAACATGTATCTCGTCGAATGTATGGGCAGATCTTCATTCCATTGGAGGCTTGGTTCCTCTTCTTGGCTACCTTAAAAACTCCAATGCTAATATCCGGGCAAAGTCTGCAGATGTCATAAGCACAATGGTTGAGAACAATCCTCGAAGTCAAGAATCCGTTATGGAAGCCAACGGTTTAGAGTCGTTGCTTTTGAACTTTACTTCGGACACCGATTTGCATTCTCGAACACAGGCGCTTGGTGCAATATCATGTAAGCTGATATGATTCCTAATAAATTTTGATGATCAATTGCCTTTCTCTACTTAGATTTATGGTTAAATAGAACTAATCTGTTTCTGTTGGTTCACAGCTTTGATTCGCGATAATGATCCCGGAATCACTGGTTTCCGGCTTGCAAATGGTTACACTGGTTTGAGAGAGGCTCTGGAATCTGATAGTGTGAGATTTCAAAGGTAAATACTCTGCACTTTTCTTAATACTCGGATCCCATTGCAAACTTTGTTCTGCTGAATCAAAACTCATGTTATTGGTTTCTCATTCTTCAGGAAAGCTCTGCACTTGTTGCATTATCTTCTACAAGAGAATGACTCAGACTGCGATATTGCTATACAACTCGGGTTTCCTCGCTTGATGATGTGCCTTGTGTCTAGCGTCGATGCTGATGTAAGAGTAGCTGCTCTCCGAGGAATGCTCGAGCTCGCCAAAGATAGAAAATGCTTAACTTGTGGCTCTAGCATAGAGAAAGACAAACTGCAACAGATTCTAGAAGATCGGGTCAAAGGAATCAGGTTGATGTCACAAGAAGATCGCACAGCTGCGGAAGAGGAGAAACAGCTCTTGGATTCACTGTGGATCAAATTTTCTAACAAATAGAGACAAGACCACTTTGTTTTTTGATAAAGCTACAATCTTTGGGATCAATTTTTCATTCAAGAACCTAAATGCCAGACCGTTACAATATTTCAAATCAAGCAACTGCATAAACAAAACACAAACAAATCACTTTGGAGGACAGAAAGTGATAACATAACGAGAAGCTCTACACTTATTCAAACTACTCGAATCATCGAAAGCATAACTATAAGCTTTCGGACAAATCGCTTTAAACAGGTTTGCGAAAATCGTCGGTTTACAAGCTTTCGGATTCGCATACTCACCGGTACAACAATACTTAGCCGATTGCATCGCCAAGCAAGCACTTTTACACCCAACCACTTTACCATCTCTCTTAACTTCCAAAGCAGAAGGACAACAAACATTCAAATCCACTTCACAAGCCGCCACACCACACCCAACTCCTCCTCCGATTGGTTTCATCGAAACCGGAAGGTTGAAACCGTCTACGAGGCTCACGTCGTAGAAATGAAGCGGCGAAGAAGGCGAGCCTAATGTCATTTCCACGACGGTTGCTGGTGGAACACCACCGGTTCCTTGGCAATTGATTGAACCGGCGTTGCAATCTCCGGTTTGGCATGAGCCTTTACCGTTTTGGTTAAAGATACAACCTTGTCGTCCCCATATTCTACCGGACCATTTATCCGGTACGTCTATGATTGTTTCTTCGCCGCTTCCCATGTGAAAACCGCCGTTTCTCGGTGTGATTTGGCCTCCTCCGCCGAGAATTCCCGGCCATATGCTCTCTTGACAGTTGTTCACTAGTATTAGCTGAGCTCCATCTGCACACAAAAAAAAAGTCATAAAACACACAATTTTTACCAAAACCCATTTGGGAGGAAGATTAAAAACCAACGAAAGACGCCATTTTTATGCATTTTCAATTCCAAAAATGAAATTTTGAAGTGAACCCATTTGAGATGACTTAAAAAGAAAGAAACCCCTTTTTGTAAAAGCTTGAGGAGGAGAAGAGATATGGTACCAATGGAGGAGGAGAAGGCTGAGATGGTGAGAAAGAGAAGGAAGATAGTCGCAGAATTCGCCATTGTTGTTGTGTATGAATGTTTTACTCTTAAGTTAATT